CTCGCGATAACGTCAGTGACCAGCCCCGCCTCACCCTCGCTCCCACCCCCCCTGGTCACGTCACGATTGGCGCTGGCGCCGCCTGGAAACTTGGCCATCCTCCAAGGCAGTCCCGGGCGGCCCCACACATCGCCAGGCGGTGCAACATCTGCCTCCAGAGCACGCGAGGGGGCGCCCGAAGCCCCGAGGAGCCGGCGCCCGAGGCCCCGAGGAGCCCGTGGCCGGCGGAGGGGTATCGGGGCTCCTGGGAGCGCATGCCCAGCAGGCGGCCTCCAGGGGCGGGGCGGCGCGCACGAGGCGGTGGCGCGAGAGGGGGGGGGGCCTTCTGCGACGGCGACGGCGACGGCGACGGCGACGGCGACGGCGACGGCGACGGCGACGGCGACGGCGACGACGACGACGACGACGACGACGACGACGACGACGACGACGACGGCGGCGGCGGCGGCGGCGGCGGCGACGGCGACGGCGGGCCTCTCTGAGAAGGACAGGACCCTTCTGAAAGGGGTCTGGAGGGCTTCCAAGAGGGCCCCTCAGAAGCCGCGAGGACTTCTGAGAAGGCCCCTCTCCTTCTAAAGAGAACCTTCTAAGAAGGCCCCACCCGGCCCTCTTAGAAGGCGGCCTCCTCGCGCAACACCCCCCCTCCGCCCCGCGCGCGCCGCCGAGGGAAGGAGAACGCCGCCGTAGTCCGAGGACAGGCGATCGAAGGACCCGGGCTCGAGCGGCCGAAGCTCTCGGGGACATCTCTAGGGAAAAACAGCTATCGTGCTGGGAGGAAGGCGGAAGATACAGGGCACGACTGTGCAATGAGCACCCTCAACATACGCGGCGATGGTGATGACATGATCATGTCTCCCGATCCCATCCTCCCAAACCGATAATTGTCTTTCTGATCTCTGGGCCTCTGCCTCCCGAGGCCTCTCGAGGCCTCCGCGGACCTCCGGGCACCCCCCGAGGACGACGTCGTCGTCGTCGATCGTCGTGGGTCGTCGTCGTCGACCGCCGTCGTCGTCACAGCGTCGTCAACCGTCGTCGTCGCCGTCGCGGTCGTCCGTCCGTCCGTCTGTCCGTCTGTCCGACGGCCGCCGTCCGTCGCCTTTCGTCGTCGCCAATCGTCGTCGGCCGCCGTCGTTCCCCCGTCCGTCTGTCTGTCCTTCTGACGTCCGTCGCTGTCGCCGCCTCCACCGTCGTCGTCGTCGCTTCCGTCGTATCCATCGTCTCCGTCGTCCGCCGCCCACCGGCGTCTTCGGCCACGGAAGCTGGGGGAAGGGGGAGGGGAACACTGACACCCTCGCGTCGTGTGAAACAAAAGAAGAAACGGCGGATGATGCTTGACCGTTTTCTGCCAGTTTGGGTCCTCGCTGGACCCGGGACTGTCAAAAAACGACTAAGCATGAAAGGCTGGTCCCTGGGAACGGGTCCAGGCCTTTGGGGAGCCACGTTGCCTAAAAACACGACGTCGGATTTTTGGCTAGGGGGAGGAGGAGGAGAAGGAAGACTCCGACACTTCGAACCTTCGACTCCGTATGAGAAAGAAGGCGCTCCACCCAGAATCTCGAGGCGGATCCGGCTTTGGCCACGAGGGCGCTCCAGCAGAAGGCCCAAAGGTGGCCAGAAACGCCCTCGACCCTCGAATCTCGATCCGCCCCGATGCCTGATTACCACCCCTCCGCATACATCTGACGTCGTGCTTCTGTCCGCAATGCGGCCCCCCAGAGGTCAGGACCCCTTCCCAGGGACAGACTTCTCATCCTGAGCAGTCCTTTGACAGCCCGGGGGCCTGGCAGGAACCCCCAGAGGCCGCCAACGGCCCCAAAAAAAGGCGCCCGCCGCGAGTTGTGCACGGCTCGAGGAGGTCTGAGGCTGAAGTGGTCCCCGGGGGTCAAAGGAAGTCTACCCCCGGGACCTCTCCTGGGGTGTGGTCTGGCCAAGATTCCGAAGGGAACCCAGCCGCGGCCACGAGAGCACCCCCGGAGGCACCAAAAGAAGAAGAGGGGCGAGACACACTTAGGGTTAAGTCGGGCGTGTCCCCCTACAATGGGGATTTTCGACGAAAAATGAAAAACACCCCTAAAATGCCCAAAAGATGCCCAAAAATACTCGAAAAATTGTCCCCTGACTGTTTTTGGACTATTTTGGGAATATCCCCCCTGTAGAGGGCAGGCCCGACTCAAACTTGGGGTCGACCCCCCTTGATAGCAAAAGTGAAAGGCAGCGCCTGGGGGGGGGTAGAGGAAAGAGAACTATGCACATGCACCGACCCTGACAACGCCCATCCTTGACCCAGGGTCGGTGCATATACCTTCCTGGCCAAGGCAAGAGGGCGTATGCACCGATCCTGGGCTCAGGATGGTCCTGGCCAGAATCGGTGTATGTGCATAGTTCTCTTTCCTCCAGGGGGGGGGGGGGGCCAGCTCGGGGGGGGGAGACAGCGACCTTCCTCGGCGCTGGCTCGCCCACGTGTGCCCGCGATGGCGAGGCCGAACGGGCCTGGGCGGGCGGAGCCGTCGGGCCCCTCTCGGCGATGAATGGGCGATTGAGGGTCGATGCCTCCCCCCCAGGAGCCTACATCCCCCCCTCCTCCTCCCCCCCCTCCTCCTCCCCTCCTCCTCCTCCTCCTCCTCCTCCTCCTCCTCCTCCTGCCTCCTCCTCCTCCTCCTCCTCCTCCTCCTCCCTCCTCCTCCTCCTCCTCCTCCTCCTCCTCCTCCTCCTCCTCCTCCTCCTCCTCCTCCTCCTCCTCCTCCTCCTCCTCCTCCTCCTCCTCCTCCTCCCTGAGCCAACATCCCCCCTTATGTTGTTCCCGTCCTACTTGAGGACCACATCCCAGAAATGATTTCGAGCACCCAGAAAAGTGTCAAAAGAGTGTCGAAACAGTTTCCGGCGGCCGCTCGGGATGCCCTGAGCACCCCCTGGAAGGCCCTCGGCGAGCAGGAGCTGGCGGAGAGCACTCCGAGCCCGGAGGCCCGCCGAGGACCGACGCGGCCGCCCGAGAGCCTCCCGCCTCCCGTGCTCCTCCTCCCCGACGGCGGAGAGCGCCCCGAGGCCGGAGGTCCGCCGAGGGCCGACGAGGGCCGCCCGCGAGCCTCCCGCGATGGTCCTCGGCTGCCCGCAGGGGCCCCCTCGGGGCCGGGACGGCGCGCGGGGGTGCGCGGCCTTCGGGGGGCCGTTGGGGGCGCGCCAGGTGCGAGCGCGCAGGCCAGCGCGCGCTCTTCGGCGGCGGAGACGCCTCCCAGTGGTAAGCCTCCCCTCAGTGTTAGGTCGGGCCCGTCCCCCCACAGGAGGAATATTCAAAGATAGTCCAAAAATAGTCTGGGGACTATTTGTTGAACATTGTTTGACCATGTTGGAGTATTCTTTGAACATTTTTTATTTTTCGTCGAAAATCCCCCTGTAGGGGGACACGCCCGACTTAACCTTAGTGAGAACGGCCTGAGACCGAAACCGACGGACCTGGACCCGCGAAATGTGACGGCCGCGAGGCCCTCTCGCGAATCGAAAACGGCCAAGTCCTTCATCGACGCGTCGGGGTAGGAGGTCTATCCACCTCCGATCCCTGTGGGGGGGCCCCACGTGGGCCCGCACCAGAGGGTCGCTCTGGCGAGAGGTCGCTGCGACGCGCTGCCGACGCCGCCCCCTCACGCTGCCCCCTCAGAGAAAAGAGAGGCATGCACGCAGATGCCACCGACCCTGGCCAGGCCCATCCCGGGCCCAGGCACACGCACCGCCCCCGGGGGCCCAGGATGGGCCTGGCCAGGATCGATGTTATGTGCACACCTCTCTTCGCCCGGCCCCTGATGACACCCTGTGGACCGCCTGGTGCCGAGGATCCCTCCACCCTCGGATGTCCCCAGCAGGAGAGCCCAGAATCGAATCGAGAAGTCGCATCGACAGTCGAAATGAAAAGGATGGGCGGAAATCGGCAGCCAAGCCGGGAGGAGTCGAATCGGCGAAAATCGGCACGCTAGGAAGGGCTCCGTCGAGAAATCGGAATCCAGATCGGAATCCGAAGTCGAATAGGAATCGGAATCGGAAGCCATCGAAATCGGAATTAAGATCGGATCGGAGGAGTCGAGATGAGCCCTGCCCAAAGGCTCTCGGCCCCGCGCCTCGCACGAGTGCCACGGAACCGACAGCGAAGCCCCGGCGGTGCGGCGAAACCCTGGCGCGGGCGCGCTTCCGCCTGAAAAGGGGGCCGCCTCGGGCCCTGGGGGACCTGCAGGGGGCAGCCCGCTGATGGCGATCCTCCCCCTGCCAATGTTCGAGTAGGAGATTGACTACAGAAAAGAGTTACCCAAGAACTTCTGTTGTCCCTTAGATTCGAAGAAAAATCAAGTCTGGGGTAAATCAAGTCTGTAGTCGATGTCCTACTCGAAATGTCGAGTGAACCCGCGCACCGCGGGTTCGTGTCGTGTCGACCCCGGCGTTGGTTCCTGACACCGCGGGGATCGTTCAACCTTGAACGATCGACCGTTTCCGAAACGTCAGCTCGTTCAACATCGATCGATTCTGGGTCGCCGGCGGCGTCCAACGTTGAGCACCAGCGGCGGGGTCGCCGCTGGTCGACACGACGGGGACCTACCGAATACTTCCTCAAGTCGACCTGTCTGGGTGGGTTTTCGCTCGATGCCCGACCTGTCGCCCCTGGGTACAGGGCGACGAGATTTGTACATATCCACTGCTCCCTGGCCAGGCCCATCCTGAACCCAGCAGCGGCGTATACGAAACGCCCTTGCCCCTGGCTGGCTTGGCCAGACGGGCGTGTAATACACAGCTCCTGGGCTCAGGCTGGGCCTGGCCATGGAGAGGTGAATATGTATAGATCTCCTTCACTTCTAATCGTGCTCATTTCTAATTGCGCTCGTTTCTAATTCTTCCTGGCCCCCTAGTGGCCAGGAAGAGGCCCACGGTGGAACAATGAGAAGTGAAAGGATCTTGGCCCCCCAGAAAATCAGAGAACTTTCGAAGAACTAGAACTGAACAATATGTACGGATCTCGTCACCCCTGGGGAGCGCCGCGGCGCCTTCCAGCGACCGCAGCAGGCCCACCGCGGCGCGCAGCGCGAAGGGCAGGCCCTCCAGGAGGATCGCGTCCCAGAGGCCGGCCGCCACCTCGGGCGGGGTCGGCCTCCTGAGGCCCCCCCCCCCAGGCCCAGAGGGGGGCAACGAGATACCCAGAGATGCAGGTCGGAGGAGGCGGAGGAGGAGGAGGTTTGAACGCTACAGCCCGCCGGCTCGAGTTCGCGCAACGTCAAAAGAGGAGGAGGAGGAGGAGGAGGAGGAGGAGGAGGAGGACCGTCTGGATCTTTTGACCATGCATAGGAGGTCGTGCGGAGGGGGGCCTTTGGGATCCAAGCACAGGAGGTCGTACGGAGGGGGCAGGGCGAGGGGAAGGGAGGGGAAGAGAGGAGAGGGGAAACATCGAGGTGCTTTCATCGACCGGCTTGGCTGTCTTAGCCTGGCCGCAAGGAGGGCCCCCTTCGCCGCGGGGGGGGTTCGCGGCCCCGCCGCCCGCCTGCAGCGGGACGCAGTCCACGAAGAGCGCCATGAGCCACTGCTGCAGGTACATCCTCGGCCGCCCGCCCGCCCCCAGCGGGGACCTCCGCCGTCGTCAGAGGCCTCCTCCTCCTCCTCCTCCTCCTCCTCCTCCTCCTCCTCCTCCTCCGCCTCCGCCTCCTCCGCCTCCTCCTCCACAAGTGCTCAGCGATTGCACCATCTGAATGCTACTCTCCTCTCTCGCCTGACCCTGTCCGGAAGATCTCTGGCACCCTTCCGCGTGTTTTTTCTACACAGGAGTGTGTTGGGTTGGTTTTCCCGATGGTCTAAAAAAACATGGTTGCACTGAGGAGTTCTTACTTCTCTTCTAGGGAACTGGGCCTGACGGCTTGTCTGACAGCTACGTTGCCGCTGTCGCCGCCCCGTGGCCGCCTCGTCACCGCCCGTCGTCAGGGCCTGACAGTCGGTTTGGCGGCTACGTGGACGCCGTCGCCGCCCCGTCGCCGCCTCGTCGCCGCCCGTCGTCTGAAAGCAGGTCTGGCGGCTATGTGGCCGCTGTCGCCGCCCCGTCGCCGCCTCGTCGCCGCAACAAGGACTGCCCCACATAGATTCTCCTTTCCAAAAACAGAATAGACTCTACCCCCCCCCCCTCCCCCCGGCGTTATCCCCCCCCTTTCGGGTATGTAAATCATTTATGATTCTGACCACATGTCCATCCTAAATATGAATGTACACTATCCCCGAGGGGCCGGGATCGCCCCCCCTGAGGTTCCCTTGTAAACAAGCGATACGCGGGGACATATGTTGTTCTATCATACCACTTTTTCGCAAAGCCCTTGCAAAAAATATGACGAAGTGCGCACGCGCGCGTCGTCGCGCGCGCATGCCAAAATCCTTCAAAAACTTGCGGTGCCGGAAGGATTTCGCAATCGAGTTTCCCAAAAAACATACAAAAGCACAGGGCTTCGCAACACTGATTTGCTGAAAAAGCTTACGCGCGAGCTCTTGCAAAATCTTTTTATTATTATATATATATGTATATATGTGTGTGTGGTTTTCCAGATTTTCACAAAATGCTACAAAACAGGCTTTGCGCGCGCATGTCGAAATCTGCCGAACGCCCTTGCGCGTGTGCCGTCGCGAGAATCCTCTGCAAAAACATGGGACGAAGTGCACACGCGCGCGTCGTCGCGCGCGTAGGCCGAAATCCTTCAAAACCCATCGGTTTCGGAAGGATTTCAAAATCGTGCCCAAAAAACCTACAAAAACACAAGGTTTCGCAACACGGATTTTCAACAAAAGCGTGCGCGCGCACTCTTGCGTCGTCGTCGTCGTCGCCGTCCTCCCTCCCGCGTCGTAGTCGTCGCCTACGTCGTCCTCTGTCTTTCCTCGTGTTCGTCGTCGTCGTCCTTTTTGGCGTCGTGGTCGTTTCCGTCGTCGTTATCGCCGTGGTAGTCCTTGCTCCTCCTCCCTCGTCGTCGTCGTCGTCCGTCGTCGGCGTCTCGTCGTCGTCCCTCCTATTTCGTCGCCGTCGTCGTCGTCGTTGCCGTCGTCGTCGTCGTTTTCCCTCCTCCCTCGTCGCTGTCGTCGTCGGCGTCGCCGTCCTTCCTCCTTCTGCGTCGTTCGCGTCGTCGCCGTCCTCCCTCCTCCATCGCCGTTGTCGTCGTTGTTGTCGTTGTCGCCGTCGTCGTCCTCCCTCCTCCCTCGTCGTCGTCTTCGTTGGCGACGTCGTCGTCGTCTTCGTTGCCGTCGTCGGCGTTGGCGTCGTCGTCGTCTTCGTCGTCGACGTCGGCGTCGTCGTCGCCGCCGTCGTCGTTGTCGTCGTCGGCGTCGTTGACGTCGTCGTCGTCGTCGTCGTCGGTGTCGTCGTCGTCGGCGTCGTCATCGTCGTTGTCATCGTCGAAGTCGTCGTCGGCGTCGGCGTCGGCGTCGGCGTCGTCGTCGTTGTCCGCGTCGTCGAAGTCGTTAGAGACGTCGTCGGTGTCGTCGTAATCGTTGTCGGCGGCGTCGTCGTCGTTGTCGCTGTCGTCGTCGGCGTCGCTGTCGTTGCCAAGTGCCATTTGGTACCCACCGTCACGGTCTTAAGAGATTTTGCAAACCAAGTTGCGGGTGGGTGGGTGGGATGTCTGCGCGAGCAGTGGAGGTGGTCCAGCGCGGTGCAGGGTAGTCAATTGCACCACGTAGATTGCACCACATGGCTTGCACCACATTGATTGCACAGCATAATTTGCACATCATAGAGTGCTAGAAACACGCCGTTTGGGGTCCACGCCGGCTCACAGATATAAGCTATATATCGGTTTTGAAGTATCAGAGACTGCGTTCACGTTACATGTGGGCATCAGTTTCGGATCGGCACTTTGTTCTTCTGAAAGGTGCTCTCATTCCAACGCGGGCCACTTTTCTGCATCCGAATCCTTTGTCATCGTTATCGTTCCCTCTGTTTCCCTCCTCCGCCTTCCCCTGGTCCTCCTGCTCCCCCCACTCCTTACACTCCAGCTCCTGCATCTGCTGATCGTTCGCGTCCTCCTCCTTCCTCAAACCTCCTCTTTTTCCTCCCGCTTATCCTCCTGCTAACCCGCCACCTCCTCCTCCTCCTCCTCCTCCTCCGATGCACGCAGCTTCCCTTTTCCCGAGTGCGCATAACAAAATGTCTCGCGTCGGCGGCTAGGCAAAGTGATTCCGCTGGCGAAAGCTGCGAAGTGTGGTGCACGGAACGCGAACTAGGCCACCATGCAAGAGGAGGAGGAGGAGGAGGAGGAGGAGGAGGAGGCACCCGGCGACGGCGGGGGGAGAACGAGAAGCCGGGCCCGCTCACAGCAGGGCCAGGCGCGTGGCAGGGGCGGCGCCAGGGGGGGAGCCAGCAGCGGCGGGCCGACAGCCGGCGGGGGGGGGGGCCAGGGGCAGCTGCGGGGCAGCGAGCCATGGCGAGGAGTCAGGTGCCCAGTCAGACTGGCTGGGCAGGAGGTCAACGGTGACGGGAGCGCCGGGAAACGGGAAAGGATGGGAAGGAGGGCTAGGATTTCAGAGATGGCGCGAGCGCACATCGCTTAATATGAATACTACCCTCCTCTCCCCTGGCGATGGCTCGGGGGTCGCCCGCACCCCTCCGCGCACTGAGTCCTTCCATACACAAGCGCACCATTCGATAAGTCCTACAGTCTTTTCAATCGGAACGTTCCCGGTGCCTCAAAACTGTGCTGCCGCTGCAGCGTGGGCCCCAATTTAAGATCGAGGCGGTGCCCCCATCTTTTAGAATGGCGCTCTCGCCCCAGCGCGGGCAACTCTTCTGCATCCGCTCCTTTCCCCTCCCCGCCTTCCCCTGGTCATCCTGCTCCTCCCGCTTCTCTCACTCCAGCTCCTGGTTCTGCTTTTCTTCCCCGTCCTCCTCCACCTCATTCCCCCTCCTCCTCCTCCTCCTCCTCCTCCTCCTCCTTCTCCTCATCCTCCTCACTTTCCTCCTCTTCTTCCTGCTCATCCTCGTGTTCATCCGCCACCTCCCCCTCCAATGTACACAGCTCCCCTTTTCCGATTGCGCATGACACGATGGGTTCCTTTTTGGAACTCCAGGTCCGCTATGGCACGCGTCGGGGGATAGAAAACAAAGCAGCGCAATGAGAAGGGATGGAAGAGAAGGGTAGGATGTCAGATACGGCCCGAGCGCACCTAGCTTGTCCTCCGCCACCTCTCCTTCCACCTCCTACCCCTCATCCTCCTCATCCGAGGTGACAAAAAGGCCCTCTCTGATGGCCCCCCCCTGGGGTTTTGGCCTGAACCGTCGGGACTCTCTCTCTCTCTCTTTCTCTTTCTCCATCAGTGGGGTGCGAATCCTTCGCCTCCTCCTCCTTCGCCTCATCCTGCTCATTCGCATCCTCCTCCCCAACCTCCTCCAGGAAAAGTCTATCTGACTGTGCGTGGCCGCATCGTGTGCGCATCGGCCACTCGAGAACCGGTCCGTCACAAGGGGGATGGTCCCCCGTATCTCGCTGGCGCGCACGCGCGGGCGTGAAGCGAGGAGGAGGAGGAGGAGGAGGAAGTTCATCGGGACGAGGCGTTAAAGGCTCAGCCTCAAGGGCTCGACATTCGTGAAACCCCTGCGTAGACTGTGGATGCAGTAGCCCCTGAGACGAGAAGGAGGAGGAGGAGGACGTCACTGGTACTGCCAGCTTGGCTGCCGAGAGAACTCCCCGTTGGGTCGCACATGCTGGTCACCATGATCTCCTCCTCCTCCTCCTCCTCCTCCTTCTCCTCCATTCCTTTCCCTTAAAAACAACTCCTCTCTGACGCACCCGAGGCCAAACGGAAGGGCGGGCTGGGCATTTCGCCTGAGACGTCCTCACCAAGAATGAAATTGAAGCTAACAAACTGGCAGTAGTTCCACAAATGAAGGGCGGGTGGTTTTCCAATTGTGGCTCTCGCCTTAGCGCCGCGCACATCCGTTTCAAAACATGCAAGAGCTTCATGGATTGAGGGCGGGTCGTTTTCAAAATGTGGCTCTCGCATTAGCCCCGCGCACATGCGTTTTTTTTGTCAAAACTGCAAGAGCTTCACGGATTGAGGGCGGCTCCGTTTCAAGACGTGGCTCTCGCCCTAGCGCCGCGCACATTCGTTGTACCAGTTTGCAAGAAATGCATTGGTTCTCATGGTCGACGTACACGAAATTGGTGCAACGCTTACGTTCACTCGCGGTGCTGAAGTCCCAGGAAAGGCGTTCTGACACGATTCAGGATCATCAAGACGCAACAGTCAGGTTGACGCTTGACGTTGACGTCATAAGAACGCTTCAAGATTTTCACACAGTTGTCTCCCAACGGGGCACTTCCCCCAGTGGAGATGAGCCCTTGTAGGGGCAGGGGCCTGTGAAGAGGAAGCTTGGAGGGAGGGTGCATTCCACCATCGTTGATGAGTCTTGGGTTTACACTGGTTCTCCTCACCCTCCTGCTCATCCTCGTCATCCTCTTCCTTCTTCTCCCCCCCCCTCCTCCTCCTCCTTCTCCTCCTCCTCTCCTCCTCCTCCTCCTCCTCCTCCTCCTCATCATCATCACCATCATCATCACCATCACCATCACCATCA